TCGACTCTGCTCATTTTCGCGGCTCCTCCTCTGGCTCCATCAGACAATCCTTCTGCGCATGTCTGGCTCCAATTTCAGCAGTCTTTTGCGACAGTTTGTGCCCGTCAAGCAGGCGTTTTGCCCTCAAGGCGTTCAATGGGAAAAAGGGCTGTCGCGTCGTCCATATTTTTTACAGTCATTGTACTTTACTAACCTTCCAATTGTTCTGTTTGCATTTCTTTCCACTAAACGCTGAAGAAACTATGAATAAGGTTGCAAATGGACGTCACTGGCTACATTTCAAGTATTTTTTGACAATACCTTCATCTGTGTCTTAATCATTCTTGTGATTCAGTTAAGGTAAGTAGGCCTGGGTGAATCCCTTTTAAGGTGTTTAGTAGCTAAGTGGTGTTGACTAGTCACTCCCAAATTAACCTAGCCATTAGCATTCCAGTTACTATCCCTTAAGTTTGTTAATTTTGGTTCATCGAAGCAGTAGTTAAAGCTGCATTCCATCACTTTTTAAAAGGTAAAATTACCCAAAATCAATGTGAAAACACATTCATAACGTTATGCTTGTTCCAGTGTGGTTGGTAAGTATTTGAATTAGATTTTACGTCACGATTGGTAAAACTTTACTTGTGTATACAATTGTTTAAAAAAAGTCTTTTAATGTAAATTAAGATAGTATGAACCACCCAGTACCCCCACAATCCTAAGACATGCGGTAATGCACGGGCCCTTAAAAATAGTCTTAACTTTTGTCCCCCTTGCGGCTCCCCTTATTACAGTCCTCAGAATACTATGAATCCAGACAAACTACTCCGATAACATGCAGGGTTTTTGTTCATGTACTGTAGGAAAACATGCGAGAACAATTCTTATAGTAGAATCATTATTATATACTGCACATTGTCATAAAATACCAGTCATATACTTTTTTAAACAAACAAAAAAAAAAAGCAATGACAATGATTCAAAAGCAGTGACTCAAATAACTTATTAATAAAGTCATCTGGAATGGCAAAAAAGTGTTCTTGCAGGACTTATCAAGGTTCTTTGGATTAATCTTCAATGGTTTCTCCTTCATCTTAACCTAGACATGCTCAATAATGTTCATTCTGGTGACTTGGCTGGCTAATCTTAGAGCACCTTGACCTTTTTTGCTTTCAGGAACTTTGATATGGAGGCTGAAGTAGCGCTACAGTATCCTGATATGGAGCGCTACAGTATCCTGCTGAAGAAATTGCCTCTCCTGTGGTTTGTAATGTAATGGGCAGCACATACCTCTGTCATATCTCTGTCATGTCTTGATACCTCAGGCTGTTGAAGATGCCATCCACTCTGCAGATCTTTTGCACACCCTCATACTGAATGTAATCCCAAACCATGATTTTTCCTTCACCAAACTTTACTGATTTCTTTGAGAATCTTGGGTCCATGCGGGTTCCAATAGGTCTTCTGCAGTATTTGTGATGATTGGGATGCAGTTCAACAGATGATTCATTTAAAAAATCTACCTTCTGCCACTTTTCCAAACGATTAACTAAGTCAAGTTCTTATTGGTTGCTCTTACAACTGGGATCCACGACAAGACTTCTGTCAGGTAGTGTACATTTCTAATTTAAATTAGTACAAAGAGAAATTTTTACAAATTTTCATTGCTCATGATAACTTCTGAAAGAAAAATCACAGACAGGATGAATTCTTTCTTGTACACATGTTGATGGAGTATATAGACTTCAATTCACGGTATGCCAATCAGGACAAAAATGCAATAAGCAAAATCTGTGCTTCCACGTCAGCCAATAAAATTGCTGTATTTGAGGTCATTTTTGCATACGAGATCCAATGGTGCAGTAGGCTATGCTTGAACATATATAAACATCAAAATGTTTGTTTATGAAGTACATTGCAATGGTATACTGTCATGTAGGTCACACTTTACATACACTTCTATAAAAATTGCTGTCTCACTGAACTGTGCATGATGACGTAATCAGTATTCAGCTTTTTGTTTTGTTTTGTTGAAATACTTTTGGTTCTTATCTTCCCTATGAAATATGCTTTGGGCTAGTTACTCATTCATTAACCTGTTCTTTTAATTTTGTAAGTCAAACATCCAAGAGACAATAAAACAAAGCTTTTCAGGCTGTAAGTTCTTTTGTATGGCAAACCACATAAATGTAACCGCAGTCCTTATCTACAGATCAACTGCAGACACAGCGGAAACTGCTGCATTTGAGCTGTATTTTGAATTGTGATCAACATTTTAGCTCATTTATTTGGTTATTTCACACAACTTTTTCCGATTTTTAGATCTCCTGATCCAGTTTCAGCAGTATTGTGGGCTTTAATTCATGGTTTTGAGGCTTTATCACTAATCTGGTTTTACTCAGGCACAAAATATTATCTTGCATCACTTACAGGTTTCTTATTTCAAGCCTTAAACTGCATTACTGCCCATTCATGCATGAGAAGACAAGTGTGTTTAGGGTTACCACAAGTTTAATGATACATAAAAGAAGGCATTTTATCTTTAAAGATAATAGCTACTGGAAAATTAAGGCATCTGATAGACAGGGGGAAAAAACTCCTTACACATAGCTTGAATATTTTTATGAATGTGACTTTCACAGTTGATGTTACAAGATCTGATAAAGTCTGCCTCAAACCACTTCTCAAACAATGAATAATTGGCTATTGTAAAAGGGAGTGGTTGTGACAAAAATAAAACAATTTCCTCAAACATATTTCAGTCCATTTACTGGCTCTTACTGTACTTTTGGCCATTGTGTTTAATTTCACTAAATGTTTGTCTCTAATGATGATAATGCCAAGCATGTCAAGTTTTAAACAGTATGTGTGTAAATTGTATTTTTAAACAGTATGTGTGTAAATTGTATATAGAAATACCAGTACATTTGATCTTTTTTTGTTTGTTCCCATGAGGAAAACGTCTTTTGAATTACATTAAATTACGTATTTTGACAATGTAAAAATGCAATTTGTGTTGCAGGGGTTGGTTTAGGCTGATATAATATTGTGGGTACAGTATAAAATCATTACGTCTGTGAAGTCCTCATAAGGATAGCTATTCAAGTGTGTGTGTAAATGGAGCCTTTATTGACTACCAAACCCAAAGTAACTTGCTGTTTACAATACTTAGGCTACCTTGAAACTAAATTAACTGGAAAAGCAGGAAGGAGCTGTAAAAAGGAAATATTTAGAGGCACGTCTTTGTTCTCTAAAATGACAATGAATTCATTTATTTATTAAATCTCTCTTCCCTGTTTTTGTAATATTACTTACGTTATCAGCTTTCCTCAAAATACTGTGTGTTAATCTGAGAAAATGGCACACTTTGCAAATGCAGAAGTCTAAAACTGGTGTCTGTTAAGTGACGATGCTGCCACCGTGTGGGAATAATTGAACAACTCATGATCTACACACAACGTACTATTAAATGTCATGTCATTATTATATGGATACTTATTATAGGTAAATAATGCACTACATTATAATACATATATTATATATTTAAATGAATATTGTTGTTTTAGGTAGTTACTCTTTGTCCTCTTGGTCTGCATAGTTCCCTGAAACACACACCGATGACGTGATCAAGAATATTGTGTAGATATGCAAAAACATGCAGGATAAAGTCTGGAGATAATCAAACTGATAAAATTTTATTTAATTTTATTTGGAAAAATGGTATTTATTATATTTTTAAAAATCAGTAATTATGAATAGCTTTGAGAATAGTGGTCTTAATATGCTGAATTTTTGTACATTTAATGTCAAAACTAAATAGGGGAAACATTTTCTCAGAAATTCAAACTCAATCTTGAACTTTATTCCAAATTATATATTTTCTAAATTTGTGAGGCTTCATTTCTTATAACTTTGTAATTATAATGTTGAGAATATACCAGTTAAATGATCTCAATTTTTATAAGATTTTTTTTCTTGTCTGGTCACTATATAACTTCTCTCCTCACAAATATTTTGCTTTGGAATAACAAAAATATTGTATACAAAAACACTCTCTTTTTTCAAAGCTGGTTTGAAGCAAATATTCACATCCCCCCTAAAGAATTTGCTGTTGTATTTGATGCCATATACCATCTGGAGTTATTATGTTATTCCATGGCATCCCCTATCTGTTTTTCCTTCTTTAGACCCTTCTACTACAATGATAGAAAAAAAATTTTTTTTGCCAACCTATTTAAACAAATCAACATGCTCTTTATTTCTTAATAGAACTGTATCAGGTCCAGATGTAATTTATTTATTATAACTCTTTTGTTCATGATATTGTTATAGGAAAACAAAATATGGCTCGTCCAAAGAGCTAATTAATTACAAATAAGATAAAATAAGTTGCATTTAGAATTATTCATCATATACATTAAAAACAAATAAAGATATTGACACTAATTATTCCTTTTTTAATAACTGTGCCCCCCCAGGAACCGGTTGGGGCAAGGTTGACATACAGTGTCACATTAATCTTTTTAGCCCCTTAACTTGCACTTCTACAGGTCCAATCTAAAATGTAACCCTACTATATTTAAACAAATCTTTTCCTAAAGCACCTGAACCCCTGTGAATAAAACCAAGACTCTTGTTCTCTCCCCATCTCACCACACACAAACCCCAAAATACAAAAAAATATAAAAACTAAGAACTCACACAGGTGAGTGGGCTTAATTGTTTTGCTATCACAAAAATATTATTAACCAAATGTGGGGAAACAGCTGCCAAACAGCTTTCAGCACGCTGGACAACAGCAGCTTGTTTACTCAAGCAAAGCATAAAGATTTATTATTTTTAAGTGACATATTTTCCATCAGATAGGTGTGTTCACACCACCAGATGGCATACAGCCAACAAATATGACCCATCAGCTTTTAACCCAGCTGCTGAATGTAACCAGTCTCCCAAGATTTACTTAAGAATTGCAGTAAAAACTAAAGGTTGCAGTCACACAAAATGCATAACTAAACGACGTGCAT